CAGGTTTAGTTTTGGGGGGGGGGGGGTGAAATTTTAGGCTTTCGTTTGAACATTGGATTTTTGTGAAAGGGGCTTTTGGCTCAGATAAAGGGTCTCGGGCTCAGAATGTACCAGCGTGCAAGGTTTAGGTCTTGCATGTTTTGGTGGGGTAAAACCTTATCAGCCTGGCCTTGTAGGCTGTTGATTAAGGCACCCCAGACCCTACCAGCAGCACATCCTTGAAGCAGATGCAAATCACGGCATGAGCCTACATTGCGAAAACTAAGGCGTGCTTTGGGGACCCTGAACCCTTGGATGCTAAAGCCTATTCCATGCGCCCATGTCAATATTGAACAGACGGAATCCTATATGGAACGCCCTAAACCATCCTAAACCCAACATTGCGGAGCCCAAAGCTGTAATCCGAAGCCCTGCATGTGTTGAGCTTCTTCACTGTATGCAGCACCTGAGCCGTATACTCTCAACCACAAGTCCTGTCGGTGCTAACCTTTCTGCCATGCATTCTGATCTCTTGGAAACAGTGTAGTTAAAGTAACTTAGAGCCTCATGCCATGCTTATGATCTACCTTCGGGCAGTCAGGGCTTATCTTCGAGGTTAAGGATAGCAAGTCCTAATTTGATCCAGCTTGCTTTGTGTTCCTCGCTCGTCGTGACAATGTACGCTTGGGGCAGGCCCCTCCCTGCCAACCGCCTGGCGCATGTTGCTCGGACTGCACGTGATCTGGGGAGGATGCAGTTTGCAGTCGTGTATGAGTTGTGGCTTCGTCGAAACACAACGCAGCGCCCGGTAGGCTTCCGAGCATCAAAAGCCCATAGCCCAGAGAGATCCCCTTTTGGACGTGTGCTGCTTCAATCTGGCCTAAATACATACCATTATTATTTTTGGGGTTCCTTGCTATAAAGATAGTATAATGGGCCCCAAAACCCCCATTCTAAATATTGCCCTCCCTGACGACTCTTGCCCTGAACTAGTCCAGTCGGGGCTTCTTTTCCGTTTGCTGCCTCTGCCAAGCTACTCGCTTCGTTGCAAGGCTTTCGCCCTGGTAAGACGCATCTTGGACTATCAGAAGGTAGGGTCGGGGCCTTATGGGCGCTTCGGTAACTAAGCATTTAGGGTTCCGGCTGCCTAGCATAGGTCCCAAACATAGGATCCTTGTCATAGGGATCCCTAAGTTGAGACCCCACAATCTCGCGAGGTACCGTTTTCCAGAAGTCCTCAGACTTAGAGGTTCGCTCCATCTGGTGAGTATAGGGCAAATGCTGATGCAAGCCCCAAGCTGCCGTGCTGGTCCTTAGGACCGTAAGCTGCATGATCACAGCATGCAGCGGATGCCTGTAGAAAGCTTTTACATTCGATATCGCCCTCCTGGTCATTATCATCTTCGGTTTCATGATCGGCAGCTTGCTTGCGAGTAATCTATTGTCCGGAAGTGCACCATCCATATGTTTAAACACGTACATACATACATACATACATACATACATACATACATACATACATAACGTAACATTACATTTCCTTCGATTACCATACTTGCCTCCCTTCCTCCCTTCCTTCGTTCCTTCCTCCCGTCCTTCCTGCCAACCTACCTACCCTACTTTTCTACTTATCTACCTACCTACCTACCTACCGACCGACCGACCGACCGACCGACCCCGACCGACCCCGACCGACCGACACATGTACGGACAGACAGACAGACAGACAGACAGACAGACAGACAGACAGACAGACAGACAGACAGACAGACAGACAGACAATCAG